AAGCCATAAAAATGGAGTAAGATTCACTGACAATGAATTCAGTCTATGTTTGCAGTATTGATTTATTTTGGTAAGCAGACATTTTATACAGAGATTGGACTTTGGCAAGGTTTATTCAGCTATCCTTTGCTGGTTCAGTAATTAGGGACTACTTTGATTTAAAATCAATAAACAGTTTTTGAAGATTTAAAGGAACAATCCAAGCACCATAACAACTATAGCATACTATAGCATACCCATTTAAGAGTAATTTATCATCTTACTTTGGGTCTGCTTGGTACCACCCAATGCCTTCAGTGCATTAGCCAGTGGTACAGGGTTTAGCTCATTGGCTGCGAGCAATAGCCCAATGCTGTCAGGCAATGAGCTAACCATGCACTGTATGACTTAGCTCAGAAGAGGTAATGAAAGTTCCTAAGCAGGAGCTTCTGACTCTCTGACTGAGGTAGAGATGGCATAGAGCAATGCCTGGTTGACCCCAGGTAAGAAGTCAAAGTGTTCTAAAACTACTTGCAATGAGGTGGTACCAGGACACTCTTTGTACCATATCTACGACAGCATGCTGTAGTGGTTATGGTGCTTGGATTGTCCTTTTAACTTGGAGTGTCCTTTTAACTTTGGCATACATGTGTACTCATTTCAGAAGATATTCAACTTTTAAGCAAATTCTTAAAATTTGGAGTTTGATATGCTCAATTCGTAGTGTACATTTTACCCAAATCTGATTATCTAATGAAGCTTCAGAAAAGTCAGCCATTAATAAATAATTATATGCATTAATTGTTAGTGCTGTATTTTCAAAATTAATAATCTTTCTTTTACTCAGCATGTCCCATATACTTATTGAATATTTGCTTTTGACATTCCCTAAATATACAATAACATTTTGTTTTCCGTTTCCTATATTAGATTGTATTTTGTTTTCTTTCAAAAGTAATTTTCTGTATGGACCTCATCTGTACAATTAAAAAGCTGATCTGGTTTCCATCTCACAGTAACAAAAAAACTAAAATGGGAATGGGGGTAGTAGGGGGAACTAACAGTGTAATTCGATATACTATAGCATGTTGGATTTGTCCCATTAAATACCAAATGTCAAATTACAAAAAATAAATGTGTAGTAGCAGAACACTGAAAAACGGATTTTGGCAACTTTTGGAACATATTCCTAGATTATACATTAGACAAGTAATAACATCTTCCATCTGAGATACAAGAAATTTATATATATATATACACACATAGTTGAATTACAACTCTGGATAGAACATATACTTTAATATGTTTTTTCCTACATTTAGATTTGTTTCAGCAACAACTTTCAATATAACTTCAGTTTAACCCCATAGTGAAAGCTGATTGTGATGTATGTCACCATTACCAGTATCCTAAATGTATGCTGGTCATTTAAAGGTTTCTTTAATCAAGTAGTAACAGCTCCCCAGATTCTATCCTGGAATATGAAAGCAGTGTCACCATGATATAATCCTTGGTTTCCATAGACTATAGTATATGATCATTGTAATATGTACAAAAAAATTTGGTGGTGTGCAACACATTTAGGGTATATACACTTTTGCATGTGTTTCTATTTATATTAACTTTGTTTAATTGCCAAGCTATGAATTGAAATGTATCTTGATATCATGTATTTTTTCTTGCTTCTAATACATAACTTGTTTGTATATAAGACTTGTTTCTTTAATTATTATTAATGACCCTTCTGATTGGCACAGCTGAAATATGACATCATTATGCTAACATATCATGTATGCGAACAGTAACACTTTTATACACTTCTAATTCTTATTACCAATTTCTTGGCGATTAAATTATAATTTTTTACTGCAATTCTGAGTAAATTTGAATTACTCTTCAATGTGTCTAAAGCTGTTGGTTTGTAATATTTGTTCTGTAATTGAGGGTTACGTTGTTGCACAATTGTAGGATATTCTCAAATTGAAGAATTGTAAGATATTCTCAAAATGAAGCAGTCACTGGGAATATTCTGATGATCTGCACGGTAGTTACTCCATGTTTAGAATGTTACATATTTTTTTATCTTATTGACTGCAACAAATAATAAATTGTCAAGTGAGACAATCTGGCAAGTCATTATTGACTTCTAAAAATGTTCATAATTGATATGAACATTTTGCTTCATTATGAAACTAAATCCATAAGTGTGTTTTGAGTAACATAGAAAAAACAGTTACAAAATGAAAGAAAAAAATAGACATATAGAAAGATAGATCGATCGATCTTTGGTATGTTCCTTATTTTTTTATTTAAAAAAAAAAACACTATTAACTTAATAGGTCAGTTTTGTGAACACCAATAAACAAAAATATTAAAGTAAACATTAATTTTGCAAATTTTGCATTCATACACAAAAACAGATGCACACACAAACACATACGCAAGGACTCACAATTTAATACCATACAATGATGTTGCTGATTAATATAATTTTGTTTGGCAAAAAATAAGAAACATGAAAAGGTCTAATATTATATAATAAAGTTTGTGTATGGTTTGGAAATATATAAAATTAGGTATAAATTACTTTTATATAAAAAAAAGTAGGGAGGACAACTGTGCTTCTTTTTTAATGTGTTTATTTTTGTTTTATTTTTTCTTTTCTTGTCTAATTGCTAACATATTATAATGTATGTATTATGTTATTATGTGATACATAATTCAAATGAGCAATTTATATACAATGTTTACAAAAAGCAAAAATTATAAAAAGTTATAAATAAAAAGACAGTAAGGGACAAATATAGTGTGATGTTATTTGTTTAGTACACCAGTGGCTAAGTGGTAATGAATTCTATTTGTTTCAGGGACAGCACCTGGTAATCCATGGCTTGGAAAAGTCACCTTCAAGGTGTTAGTTCTTATTGTACATCATATTTTATATCCTTGGATACTGAAAATATATATTTTTCATTTTCATCTCAGGTTACTCTAGTGAGGTGTATAATGTGCAGTCAGTAGGTAAATAGCATACTGTAATTGTCTGATAAAAAATATGAGTCTATCCAATCAGGATTCACTTGGCGACTTTTAACTATAAATTACAATCAGAATCTTAGACTTAACTATAAATAATAAAAAAAAAAAAACTTCTTTCATTATCTGCAGAGCCTTATAGTTTATTATACTAGTGAACGCATGAGAGATACCTACTTCTAAAGGATTCCAATATTTAAGTTAAAAACATTGTTCAGTGTACAGACCCGCCTACTATAACCTTTCCATTTCATAACAAATTGAAGATTGGTGTAAACTAAACACAAGTCTAGCTAATATTAAACTTTTTCCAAGTGACAAAAAGCAAACAATATAATGTAACTTCAAATTGCTGCCTATTCAATACAAACCATGTTAAAAGAAAATATAATTTACTACACTTTCAAAAAATATATAAATATAATTAGCTTTGAAAAATAACAACATGTATTAGTACATTTAACTTTCCTATCTTGTAATGGTCATAGCCTTTTATTTTAAGAAGTATCATAGATACTTATTTAATTATCTTTTCTCCAGTTTGAGTTTAAGATTTTCCTGACTCGCAAATGTTGGCATCCTTGGAACACTAGCAGCAGCCTCTTATAAACTTTTAAGAGGAGAGGGTCTTGTGAGTGTATATTAGGACCAGGATAAAATACTTGCAGGAGTTAGTAGAGGCTCGTCAATAGCACCTGGCAGCTCCTGATTGGGTTTGTTGCAAAATACATGAATACTCATTTCTAATAAGAGTGATAGGAGGAATTTTAACTTGCAATTGTGGATTAAAACAATCAATTTAGTGTGTTTTAGAAAACCAATTTGAAACTTGTCTCTATTTTGCAAAGAGTTAGAAATTCACCGAGCATGTTGCGCTCTTGGGACGTTTGTAAAAACCATCTATGTTTCCCATGTTTTTATAGTTTAAGGTTTATGGTCGCTGGTAACGTGTGACGATTAACCCCTTAAGGACCACAAACGTACTTGGTATGTCCGACAACAAAATTGTCCTTAAGTCCTTATTACTTACCCGATCGCCCTGCTGGTGATCGGTGTTGCTCCTGGCTGGGGGGACAGCCTGACAGCCCATACAGTCCAACCTCTGCAAATTAGGCCCCCGAGGGCCATGTGATCGCTCTATGGATGCAATAGGCATCCATAGTGCTGCCTGCCTAAACTGACAGGCAGTCTCCCTGCTTCTGTTGAAATAAAAAAAAAATATGTTAATATATATATATATATATATATGTATATATATTAGATATATATACATACATTATATCTATACCTTATATATATTTAAAATGTCATACTAAGTGTATTTTTATATAAATATATATAAGACTGGACATATCCCATAGTGAATACCCTGGGTTGTCTACTTTTAAAAAATATGTATGGTATGAGGTGTGATTCAGAGATTTATGACAGATAACAATGTTACAATGTCACTGTTGATACATTTTAAAAATATATATTTTGAAACAGCAATGTCCTACTTGGGTATTTCTAAACTCAGGACAAAATTCAAAAACTATTTAGCATGGATGTGTTTTGGCGGTTGTAGATGCAGAACAGATTTTGGGGGTCAAAGTTAGAAAAAGTGTGTTTTTTTAAAAATAAGTCATCATATTTTATAATATTTTTATAGTAAATTATATGATATGATGAAAATATTGGTATCTTTAGAAAGACCTTTTAATGGTGAGAAAAACTGTATATAATATGTGTGGGTACAGTAAATGAGAAAGAGGAAAATTACAGCTAAACACAAACACAGCAGAAATATAAAAACAGCCCTGGTCCTTAACGGTAAGAAAAATGAAAAAGTTTTGGTCACTAAGGGGTTAATTAGATCAAGGATGTTGTATATAATTTTACATATGCAGCATCCAACAATGAATGATGTGAGGTTGTGAGAGGTAGATAGCACCATCTTAAAGCTTTTCCAGCTGCTTTTGGGGGAGGTGGACACTGGCTTACCTACCACGGTCACAGGGGATACAGATGTGACAGGGCCCCTCACTCCACGGGGCCCGGCCACAGCTGCAACCCCTGCAACCATGGGCCACCTGGATACCTTATGGGCTGGTGCACAGCCGCACCGGCCCAGGTCCGGGGTTCCCGGAGGTCTGGCAGGAAAGGAGAGCTGCACTGTGCTGCTCCCCTCCTGCCTGTGTGTAGTGTGGCTGAGCGGTCTGACAGCAAATGCTCACTGTTAGAGCACTTCCTGTCAGACCGGGAACCGTGGCCAATAAGGTAAAGAAGGGGAGGGGGGAGAGAGAGAGATGGTATGGGTTACAGGGAGGGGAGAGGGTTGAAAGGAAGGGTATGGGACACCTTGTGGAGAGGGGGAGTAATGGAAGGTATGGTACACCTGAAGGGGAGGGGGGAGAGAGGAGAAATGGTACACAGGGCGGGGAGGCGGGAGAGAGGGCACAATGTGACACAGTGAGGGGTGAGAGAAAGCACTCTGGGACACAGGGAGGGGAGGGGAGGGGGAGAGAAAGAACAAGGGGACACAGGGAGGGGAGGGGGGAGAGAGAGAACAATGGGACACAGGAGGGGATGGGGGAGAGAAAGAACAATGAGATACAGGATGGGGAGGGGGAGAAAGAAAGAACAATCGGACACAGGAGGGTAGGGGGGAAAGAGGGAAACAATGGGACACATGAAGGAGAGCATGGGGGTATGGGACACAGGAAGGAGAGAGAGATGGAGGGTATGGGACACAGGGAGGGTAGGGCAGAGAGAGGGAGATATGGGACATAGGGAGGGGAGGGGGGAGAAAGGGAACAATGGGACACATGGAGGGGAGAGTGGGAGGGTATGGGACATAGGGAGCGGAAAATGGAGGGTATGAGACACAGGGAGGGGAGGGGGAGAGATGGAGGGTAAGGGACACAGGGAGGGTAGGGGGGAGGAATGGAGGGTATGGGACAACTGGAGGAAAGGGGGAAGGGAGGGACAAATGGGGCACAGGGATGGGAGGGGGAGAGAGGGAACAATGGGACATATGGAGGGGAGAGATAAAGGGTATGGGACACAAGGATAGGAGGGGGAAAGAGGTAGGAATGAGACATAGGGAGGGAAGGGGGATAGATGAAAGGTATGGGACACAGGGAGGGGAGGGGGAGAGATGAAGGGTATGGGACACAGGAGGGGAGGGGGGAGATGAAGGGGGACACAGGGAGGGGAGGGGGGAGAGATTAAGGGTATGGGACACAGGGAGGGGAGGGGGAGTCATGGGGGGTATGGGATACAGGAGGGGAGGGAAAAGAGGGAGGGTATGGGACACATGGAAGTGAGGGGAAGAGGGAGAGAGGGTATGGAATACATTGAAGGAAGGGGGATAGAGGGCAGAATGGAACACATGGAGGGGAGGGGGGAGAGGGAGGGTATGGGACACAGGGAGGGGAGATGGAGATGGAGAAATGGGACACATGGAGGGGCTGGGAGGGAGGAGGGTATGAGAATCATGGAGAGGCTAAGGGGAGAGGGAATGGGACACATGAAGGGGCTGAGGGGGGAAAGGGACACATGGAGGGGCTGGGGGCAGAGGGAATGAGGCTCATGGGGGCGCCTGGCACGGTAATGAGACACCAAGGGGGTGGGGGTTGAGACACATGGGAGGGAAATTTTGGCATGGAAATTTTGGCACCCAGGCCCAGTGGATTCTATTTATGCACCTGGTGCTAGGTAACATATTCATACAGTGGATTCTCTCATTAATAAGTCTGATAAGTGCATATCATTAAGTCTAAACATACTTTGGCGAGTATGATTTTATTTGTCATAAAGAAAGGCTAGATCCTCTGTCCTCTACTCATGTTTTTCCATTTTCCCTAAAACAGAATTTAGAATTAGTTGCATACCTCTCCCGTGCAGTTTGGTTCACTGAAAGAATGTGTCATACGGTTTCAGCATGCTGCCTTTGAATGCTGCCACCCCAGGGTTGTGTAAACCTTTTTTTTTTTTTCTTTTTCTTTTATTCCAAACTCCTCTGCTGCAGCTTGAAAAATGGGAAAAGAGACTTTTGCATTAGTCACACTTTGGAAATCAATGACTGGCTTTGAGCATGAACCTGACCTGCTACTAGCGCTTGCAACCTGTCACTGTTCTCCAGATTAGACTGATAGACTGGTAATAAATAAGCCTGGAAAAACTTGTTTTTTAAATCATCAGTGTGGTTAAATGTAAATTGGGAAAATGGCTTTTGTTTACTCTTTGCACCATTACCACTATAATGAACAACAGTGGTTATGGTACTCAGTGTGTCCCTTTACATGTAGGAAGCAGAAGGATTAAATTCACATGACGTTTTACTCAGTGTGATTAGATGAGTATTGATGCTCTGGGTTCTATCTATATGCTGTTTGAAGGCTTTAAGGCAGATGTGTGAAGAAAGGTCAGATACGGCCAAGCTGAGCTGATCTAGCCTTGGTGCTAATGTAAGTTATTAGAGCAAACTGCTGTCAGCAGGTAATGTATTTGTTGAAAAAACTAGAAGGGTCATGGTGGATGACAGCAAGTGGATTAATGTGTTAAAGGATATAAGGGGCATCAAGAGCGTATATTTTAGAATCACAAATTACAGCTAGAGAAAAGCTTAATGTAGTAAAAATATAGTGTTCAGGAAAGGGTAAAGGTCAGAAACTAGAGTAATAATAATTTAGAATGGGTATTAGCAGACATAGCTTTTACATACACACATACATGCATACGTCACTCACAAATATATATAATATAAAGTAAAAGTGCGAAAATGTATCCTCTCTTGCTATGAACATTATACATTTACTAGAACGTTGGAACCCTGGAATAGGGCAAGAGGAGAACGTGGAATGGGTAGAAATGGCACTTTTTTGCAAGAAATAACTTTAAATGTTAGGACGAACATATCAGAACATTTTTACAGGACTGGGTTTAATTATTAGAGCAGTGCAACAGGGCAGAATGTTAATTAGTGAGTCAAATAATTGAGTAACTCCTGTATAGGAGTGATAATGCTAGCCACTGTTAGAGGGTGTGCAAATGCTGCCACTGCTAGAGAGAGTGTGAATACTGCCACTTCTAGATTGTGTGTATGAATATTGCCACTGCTATAGGAGTGTGAATAGTTCCACTGCTTTAGGGAGTGTGAATACTGTCACTGTTAGAGGGTGTTTGAATACTGCCACTGATAGCTGTTGTGTGAATAGTGCCACTGCTTTAGGGAGTGTGAATACTGTCACTGCTAGAGGGTGTGAGAAAACTGCCACTGCTGGGGGTATGTGTATACTGCCATTGTTAGAGGGTGTGTGAATGCTGCCACTACTGAGGGTATGTGAATAGTGCCATTGTTAGAGGGTATGTGAATAGTGCCATTGTTAGAGGGTGCGTGAATAGTGCCACTGTTAGAGGGTATGTGAATAGTGTCACTGTTAGAGGATGTGTGAATTCTGCCATTGTTGAGGATGTGTGAATCGTGCCACTGTTAGAGGTTGTATGGAGCTCTGAAACTGGAGATTGGTCCAATCAATCTTGTTTCAATCTATGAGACACATTTGGAGAGGAAAGGAGTGGTGTGGCGTTATGTTGAAAGGGGCAAGGAAGTTCCTCACCTGGTGCTGGATTGAAGGTAAGTTTTATCTTTACTTAGTAATGACGTGATACCAGCTTGTCTTTTGTAAATAGTTGCATTTTCAAGTAAATTACCAGGCCCCAAAGTAAAATGCTGTAAGTTAAATTAATTAATTAAAAGTGATGCTGAGCTGTATACAAATGCATGCCTAAGGTATGAGGCACACAGGGTAGGTCTGTGCATTGGCACCCTCACATGATCCTTCAAGTACTCTAATTACCACTGCTTATTGTAGTGGTTATGTCTGTTCTCCTCCATTCCTTCTATTAATTCCCTGCTATTTCAGTCTGTTCACCCTAAACCCTCTCATTCTGTTTGTCCACTACTCCTTTTCAATCTATCTTCCCTCCATTCTCTGTCTGTTCACCTCCCATTTGTATGTGTGCATTTTCTATTTTTCTATAGATCATTAACCATCAATATTACTCTGTGTGATAGTAATATATTTAATTGTGATTCCTTGGATTTAAATGAGATGCCAGTTTGGAAGAAGAGTTAATTACTAGACAGGACATACCATCAGTATACCAATGTTTAAGCAGGTAGGAGTCACTGGGATCTGACTTTATGTCCTGGCCCCAGATTCCTATATAGGAGCAAATTTGAAAAGTTACTTGATGCAATGCCTCTATCGCATAGAAGACACCATGTGCCAGACAGTCAGTGGTTAATGCTGTGCCAGTATTCAGAGAAGTATTTGCCCCCACTTGCATTATAACCAGACTCTTGCGCATTGGTTATGCTGCAGGGGCAGTGCAATTGTTTGAGAACACAGTAGGCAGCATTTTAAGCATACATGTGTTTGTATTTGAAAGCAGTCACCTTATGTAACGTAAACAGCTTGGCAAGCACTAGATCTCAGTGGCTGTTGTCCATAAATTACGATAAACAGGGGTGCTACTTAATACATTGAGGGTACATGACACGTCCCAACTTCCCTGTAGAGTCAACACTGCTAATGACTCAACAAAAGACAACAATTTGCTAATTTCAAGTTTATAACTATCCATAAATTTAATAAATAGATGAATACAAAAAGAAAACCTTGTCAACACTTGGAGATCAATTGAAACAACCCATGCATTTTGGGTAAGAAAATTTCAGTCCTAGTTTATAAATTAATGTAAGCACTGTGGGAATTAGGAATGACTCTCTTTAATTTAGTTAATTCATGAATAGTGTCTGAAATTATTTTCATAATTACTACACTTGTTATGTGTGTAGTAATTTTTATTTTCATGAATTCAACAATTTTGAGCTAGATATAAATTACACATTTAATGTGATTTATAGAATAAACAACAATCCTTGGCATTATAAATGTACTATCCAATATGTATATTGAATCTTCATAATGTATCCCTATTGATCCATACAGACTACCAATACAGTATTGTTTGTCCATGTCACACATTAAACAATTAAGACTGCTGTATGATGTTGTATGA